TGTCAAAATATACAATGACAGCTGCAAATGAAGTAAGCGCAGCAAGAAAACCAATCGGCATCGCGGAAAAGCGGCAACAATAAACTTCACATCTCCTTTTTAGAAAAGGATAGAAGAGGAAAATGTAAAAGAAAATATATAGATTTAAATATATATGCAAATAGCAATCATGAAAACCTAAATACTTTATTATCAACTGCGGAAGGTAAATTGATACATTACATCTACATATAATTTGCATAAATATTATCGGCTCATCACAGATATCGACAAGAACCGATAGAAAAGTCATAATATCTTTAGCACCACGTAATGGCCGTCTAGACACGATGGCTGGTCCTCAAACTTCAATACATTGCGTGCAATACTGATATGTACGAAACAGAGGCCTTTAAAATCTAGAAAAATTATATCAAATAATAATATAATTTAAAAAAAACAAGAAAATAATTTATAAATAAATAAGTGTATAAATATAAATTAAATTTTTTTATAAAAACATGTCAATTAAAAGTCTTATAAAATCTCTTAGTGATTAAAGTGAATCGTGATCATTTGGAATAATGTCCGTTAATAAATTAAATAAGTGTCGACCCATTAAGACCAGAATTTTATTAACTAAAAATTTAGTGCTGAAATCTTACGCTCGTGAATCCCTCTAACGACAGGTCCATGATCTTTCCGGCGGTAATGGTAAGCCTTCTTTGTGATCTCAATATTATAAGTAGGACGAACTTGCTCTCATCAGGTTTAAAGTCGTACCAGATTGATTTGTACGCCGCGTCGCCGATCATTTTGCTCTAAAGAAGAATGTCGCAAAAATGGCGTGCTATCAATATGATAAATGAGTAAATTGACATAAAAACTTCGTTTATACTATAAAAGAAATAACAGTTCAGACGGAGTTTCATTATACAGAAGTTATCATATACTTGAATTATCATGCTTTCTCACCAATTACGGTATTGTAATTACGGTATTGTAATTACGGTATTGTATCATTGACATTAATCTAAATAATTATGATTAAAATAATATAAGTAATGATTATTTAAGAAATTGTAATTTTTTGCATAAAAACAGGGCTTCTTTTCTAAAGAAACTCGTATATGACACAATATTGTATTATACAAACTCGTATAATTATTGTCGGTGTATTGCAACACATTTACATTAAAAACAAAAAATCTTTTAATTATTTGTTCACATTAAAAAGAAATGGAAAAAGAATATGTAACTTCTCGTTTCAATAGTTGCGTTCTTCATGACGAAAATACAATTGCATTTTTTTTTTAAATTAACACACAATGTATGGCCGAATCGCGTAAATTGACGTTTCTACAGTGACTCAAGAGTAACCTCATTGTTCCGACCTTGGCACTGAGATATTCTCCGCAATAGCAGAAGGTAAACGCCTCTACCGCAGCAGCCACGTAAAACACTATAGCTTTTATTAATGCCGCGCTATCGATTGTATCCGAGTCTTGCATCGTGTTGATCGACTGCAACATCGAATTGCAATATAAATCACTGACTGCTGCAAGACACAAATCGTTTCTTGCGCACTTTTTATCTTTGGCGAGGGATCACATACCGTTATGACCGTGAATCCTACGCAACAGGTCAATAATGTGCTCGACAAGAATTGAATTAGCGCTATATAAGAGAAGATTCTTTCGATTTTATTCGAAAAGATGATGATCCTCTGATGCTTGCCGATCAATGCCTTCATAGAGAAACTTAGCTGTTCATTGTTCTTCACGGGACATATATCCCTCAATGCGTCACATAAAATCTCTATTTGACCACTCGTATGAAGAATCTGAAAAAATGTACATTCTATGAAATCACGTAATATAAATAAAAAAATATTTTACCCTCATCAAATGTAACAGTTGCTAACTATTAGTATATAAAATAAATTATGTATATTATTACACAGGACAAAGTGTAACATGAGATGTTTCATGGTTTAAAAAAAACCTTAAAACAAGAAAAAAATTCAGAGGAACAATGTCCATTTTGAATTTATTTTAAAATATTACAGCCGTCTCTGTGAGCCTAATTATTAAAAGTACGAGAAGCTATAGATTGTAAAATTAATATACATATACAAACTCTGGATAATTCGCTAGCAATTATATTTTACACACTGACAAAGAATATTAATGTTTTAAAGTCCTTTCTTTAGATTAAGATTCTGAAGATATTTCTATATGTTACAATATGAATATATTACAAAATCTAAAAAAACATTAGAAAAAAGTCTTCTTTTTCAATTAAAAAAAATGGAAAAAGTATCAGTGTCATGATAATCGACTATTTCGAATATTGCCATCTTTAGCAGTATGTACATAGTATATTGCTAACAGATAAAAGTACAGTGTCATAAAAACTAATTGCCATTATGCGACATCGCCTAGTAGATTTAGCTTAAAGATATTGAGAGAAAATTCTTCTTTTATAGATCGCACTCACTAACGTAACGAGCAGAGAGTTAAGTACGCCGGTTACAGTGGAAGATGCCAGTTGATGAAGGAATTCCAGACACATAACGAGCTCGTACAGCGGCGATTCGTTACACTGCATTGGGAGCTGTAGTTGCAGCGTAAACGCGCGAACAGGCGTCTCGATTCCGTCGGCATCGTAATCATCGGTATGGGATGCGAGTACCTCGATGCCGAAGCAACATGCCGCTGCTGAATGAAGCCCGATGATCACGTTAGAAATGCGTCGCGACAAGTTTGTCTTGCTCGTCATGATGTGCATTTCGTCGTTGGTGGCTTCCTTCCAGTCTGCAGCCATCGCAGCTAGAGCGTCGTAAAATATACTGCGGCAGTTTACTCTATCTGGGTGTATGGATAAACAATTCACACTAAGATGGGAACACAATAAGATGGATGGGTTTTGGGAAGGAAGCAGGCCTCATCTTTCAAGGTACATTGAACAATAAATATAGTAATATGTATATGTATAAAATTGAATTAAATATAAGTGGTAAATATATTATAGCTTTATCTTTCGACTGTACTTAAATATTATTGCAAGATGGCGATATTTGTATTTTCTAAACTGAGTAGCAAGACTAAAGACAGTCAGATTTAAGTCTGGATCATATAAATCCACTGTATCTTCTTCCTTACATATTTTAAACAATTTAATTGAGACCATTATTGAAAAATAGGTAGAGAAAGACGTAAGATTGCTGTAAGAATCGTGGCTTTCAGGAACGATTTATATTTAAAAAAACTCAATTTTCATCTTCAACTGCGTGAGAAATGTTCTCTTACCGAGTATTAAACCATAAAATAATCAGTTTCAGAGACATCACGGTATACTCGATGGTGACACTTAAACTTTCCATCAAGTACGACATGTCGTCAGTTCTGAAGTGGATAACGAGCCACCAGTACTGATAAGTCTGCACTACGCCGATGGTCAATATCCAAAGGCACCGAAACAACAGCGCGCATGGCGTATTAGGCCAAAATCCGATAATTCGAAGACCGATTTGCACCGAAAGAGAAATAGCTGTGCTTATACCCGTCATTCTATCGCGTTGTGACATCTTACAATTTTATACCTATATACCGGTATACCAATTTGTATCCACTGCTACGTAAAATTTGACCAGAATTTCGACATTTGCGTTATTATATCTGGCGAAAATGTAACTCGAGGTACTTTTCGGTACCTGCTAACGTCGTAAAGTCACGGATTAATACCAAAAGGCTGCGTATGATTTTAAAACGACTCTAGAGCGGCAAGTTGATCACGCAAGGGTCGCTGACTAAACGCAGCGAGGTAATCACCGATCAATTGCGACCAACTGGAAACAAAAGTTACGGCAATTTGCATGAAACAGAGGGGATTAAAATTGCAACAATCGAGAAATGATTGCGACCGCAGCGCGTAATGGCTGTCTTATTCTATCGTAAAAAAATGTCGCAGATGGGACAAATTAGTTGCTTGAAAAATGCAAGAGACGGCTTTTCTACTTACGATCTGCGCAGGAGCGAGCGCGGTTCTAGAATAATGGCTCTTTCAAGAAAGGCATTAAATATACTGAAAGACGTAAAACGAACATCGAGATAAAAATGAACGAAAATGTGACGGGCAATATATTGTACGGTCATATTTCTGTAGACGCGTTTCGCGTTTCTTTTGTACTAAAGAGTATTTAGAGTGCAAAATGTTCATACCCGATTTTTTATTAAAACTCATCTGTCATATTATACAAAAATATTTAATTGACCAAACAATTTCGCGCGATTTTTTGTCAAAAAGCTTTGAAATATATATTTTTTAAGACCTCAAAAGATCAAAGTTTCTTTTTCATTACAAAGTGTTCTGCAATGACTAGAAGTGATAATCTTCTGATGGTGCAATGTCAGGATGAAGGTGCAATAGAAGATCTCAATTCAGCTGTCTAAGTTTGCGCTGAGTTTACATCAAAGTGTGAGGTCTTGCGTTATCGTGGTGATAAACAATGGCCTTCTGAATGCCCGAATGCTTCTCCTGTAGATTGTTTCTTTCAAATTATCCAACTGTTAACGGTACTTTTCGGAATGAATCGTTTCGCCAACGGAGCGAAAAAAAGGATTACTGCCTTACAACCCCACCAAACAGATAGCGTCACCTTCTGAAAGTGCAAATCAGCTTTTAGTATGAGTTTATTTCTTTTCTTTCCAAGTCTGTTTGAGACGAACTGAATTATTCCGGAACTGTAGAATCCATTCATCCTTAATCGCTCCAAAAGTGAAACTTTAACAAGTCTCTCGAGCAAGAAATTATGCCGCAAAGACTCGATTTACTTTAGTCAGCGTATAATATCAAGATAAGAATTTTATTAACGGAAAATTCAGTGTTGGAATCTTACGTTCGTAAATCCTTCTAGCGACAGATCCATAATCTTTCCGATTATAATAGTAAGCCTCCTTTGTGATCTCAGTATCATAAACAGAACGAGCTTGCAAACGAAACTCGTTGGGTTTGAAGTCGTATCAGATTGAATTATACGCCGCATCGTCGATCATTTTGCTCTGAAAAAGAGTGTCCAAAAATGTTGTATTGACAATGAGATAAGTGACTAAATTGACTTCGTTTATACTATTAAAAAAGCAACAATTCAAGCGTAATATGAATACAATACATACAGAAGACATCATATGCTTCAATTATTTAAAAATATATACATATATTTGCCAAATAATTACGGAATTATTGGTATTAATTAAAGTAATTATCATTTAAACAATATACGTATTAATCATTTCAATAATTATTACTTAATATGTAAAAACAGGACTTCTTTTTTTTAAGAAATAACATGTATAATTATTATTGTGGATGTATTGCAACACATTCATATTGTAAGAAAAAAGAAGATTTAACTTCTTGATTAAACAGTTATGCATTCTCCATGATAAAATTGTCATTTAATATCACCATACAACTTATCATTATTTAATATCGTCAAACAATGTATGACTGAATCACGTATGTAAATTGACATCTCTACAATGCAAATCAAGCGTAACTAGCGTAAGGATCTCATTGTACTTCCGACCTTGGTACTAAGGTACTCTCCGTAAAAGCTAGAAGATAAACGCCTCTATAAAACACAATAGTTTTCATTAATGCCAAGCTATCGATCATATTCGAATTGATTGCAATATAGAACTGCGATATATACTCCGTTCAACGAGAGATTGAGAGTAGATTGGACGAAAACTCGTCCGTCACACGCAGGTTTCCCCCCACGGAAGACCTAGAAAGCCCTCCACCACACTACCGACTACCGTGCCGTATACGAGCGCGCTACGCTCTTTCCACTTTGCCCGCCTATACGCAGAACCAATAGTCTCAATAGTCTCAATCTCTCGTTGAACGGAGTATAGATCGCTACCGCTGCAAGACACAGATCATTATTTCTTTCCAGTTTTGACGATCGATTATTTACTGTTACACTCATGAACTCTAAGCAGCAGATCACCAAAGTGCTCGACAAGAATTGGATTAGGACATGGATCATGTAACGAAAAATTCTTTCGATTTTGTCCGAAAAGATAATAATCTTTTGATGCCTGCCGATTAAGTTCCTTCATAATAGAAACAGCGAGACGTTGGTTCTTTTTGGGACATCCCTCAATGCGTCACACAAAATATCTATTTGACCGCTCGTATGAAGAATCTAAAAGCACACATTTTTAAAACCTCGTAATATAAATGGAAAGAGATTTCACACTATCGAAAATAAGTTGTAGAATGGTATAAAGTATAAATTATATATATTATTATATAGAACAAAGTGTAACATGTGAGAAATATTTCATATCATTGGAATCTTAAAATAAGAAGAAAAATCATATAAACAAATGTTCAATTTTAAATTTATTTTAAAATTAATGCCGTTTCTTTGAAGCGGCATAATATGCCTATTAGGCATAATATGCGAATATAGTTATAGATTATAAAATTAATATGTTTACACGCTCTAAATAATTCGCTAGCAATTATGCATATTTTATATGTTGATAAAAAATTGTTATTAAGTTTCTTTCTTCAGATTAAAATTCTACAAATATCTTTTCGTATATTACAATATTATATATATTACAAAATCTAATTAAGTAAGGTAAGTAAGAAGAAAGTCTTCTTTTTGTATCTAAATATATCAGTGTCATATGACAATCCGAAGTTCGGATATCCATTGTTTTCTTTCACATTCAATAGTATATATGCTAAAATAAACATATTACTAATAAATAAGTACAGTGTCGTAAAAGATACAGTAACTGATGCCGTCACACAATATCGTCTGGTTAGATAGATATAGCCTAAAGATATAAAGAGACAATTTTTCTTTCGCAGATTGCACTCACTAACGTGTCGATCAGAAAGTTCAGTATACCGATCATGGCGGAAAATACCAATTGATGAAGAAACTCCAGACACATAACGAGCTCGTACCACGGCGACTCGTTGCATCCGAATGGGAGCTGTAGCTTCATCAATGTAAACTCACGAACGGGCGCCGGGCGTCTCGATTCCATCGACGTCGTAATTATTGGTCTGAAATACGAGCACGCCAAAACTATAGGAAAACGCAGCTTCTGAAGCCCGATTATCATGTTGGAGAAGCATCGCTACAGATTTGCCTTAGTCGTCATGGTCTGAATTTTGTGAATGGCCAAATTCCCTCCAGTCTGCAGCCATCGCAGCTAGAACGTCGTAAAATATACTGTGGTAGTTTATTCTATCCAAATGTAAGGATAAACAATTCGCACTAAGATAGGAACACAATAAGATGGAAAAGAATGGCTCCCAGGAAGAGAGCAGGTCTGATTTTTTAGTGTACATTTAATGATAAATATATAAAATATACAGCGGTAAACATAGCTTTACGTAAAAATCGATTGCACTTGAATATTATTGCAATAAAATGGCAATGTTATATCGCAAATAAATTTGAATTAAATACACTGCATCTTCTTTATTATATATTTTGATTGTATTAAATGAATAGAAACTTTTGTTGAAAATTAGATAGAAGAAGACGCAAGATCTTTACTTAAGAAAAAAAAAGTATTGCTGTGAGAATCGTGGCTTTCAGGAATGATCTATATCAAATAAACTCGGTTTCCATCTTTGACTGCGTGAGAAATATTCTCTTACCGGCTATTTGACCACAAAATAATCAGTTTCACTGACATTATTACACTGTATCCATGGTGACACTTAACCGTCCATCAGATGCGTCATGTCGTCGGTTAAGTGAATAACGACCCACTAGTACTGGCAAAGTCTGCACTACGCCAGTGGTCAGTAGCCAAACATCCCGAAACAATACGGCGCATATGCCAAATCCCAACAATTCGAAAACCGATTTGCACCGAAAGACCAACAGTGCTCGTCATTTTATCACGTCGTGACATTTTATACCAATTAAAGTATACCAATACCGATATAACAATTTATACCTACATAAGATTTAGCAGACAATTATTCGACACTTGCGTTATCCGAAATGTAACTTAGAGTATTCGACTATTAACGTCGTAAAGTCGGATTACAATGCCAATGGCTGCGTATGATTTTAAAACGATTGTAGAGCGGTAAGTTGATCACGCAAGGGTCGCCGAGTAAACGTAGCCATAGAAGTAATCACCGATCAATTGCAACCAACTGAAAACAAGTGTTCTGGTGGTTTACACGGGACAAAGGGGATTAAAATTGCAACAATCGAAAGATGATTATGAGCGCATAATCGCACAACGTGTACAATGATTGCCTTATTTTGTCGTAAAAAATGTCTACGAGACAAATTGGTTACTTGAATAATGTAGGAAACAGCTTTTCTACCTATGCTTCATGGTAGCGATCGAGCTCAAGTCTGGAATAATGGCTCTTTGAAGAAACGTAAAAATACGGCAGAGAAAACGTTCTGAGATAATAAATCATATATAATATAACTGTATTAATAAGATTTCTCCCTCATCTGTGTCACAAGATCAACTACGAGATATAATAAAAGCAAACAATTTATATTTCTTTGTATCCACGATGTGCGTTATTAAATTGTTACAATCAATTTATATAAAGAAATAAATAATATTTTGACTTTCTCACAACGTGTATACACAGTTCTAAGCTTCTTCGACATCAATACATTGCGTATAAAACAGATATGTACGACGCGGATGCTTTCAAACTCTGAAAAATTAAGTAATATGAAATATATCAGTGCAATAAGTCTGTGAAAATAGATCGATAAAACAGTACTATCATTGCAAACGATATGAATAATATAAATTATGTATAATATTTATCATCTTAATAGTAATTATACATATAGCATGAAAAAAGTGCGAGATACCAAAAGTTGCTTTCACATAATATGCGGTCAGCTGTATTGTATCCTAAAACTATTGTTTTGTTTAAAATGATATTAAATCTGTTCTACATTATATTCACACATTTAATGAGAAATACAAATGAGAAATGCAAATAGCTAATTTTGATCCCACGATCAAACGTGTATTATAAGATAAATGAGATGTTAAACATAAAGTATAAAATATAATTCTTATCATTCTCTCTTTTCATAGTAAAAACGATATAATATAAACACCTAATATATATTACAATATATCTATTCTTAACTTATATGTAGCTATGAGAAAAGTTCACAATTTCATCAATTTATTGAAATCTTACGTTCGTGAATCCTGCCAATGATAAATCCATAAATTTCCCCGCAGTGATCGTTAGCCGTCTTTGCGATCTCATTATCACAAACAGCAAAATGCGACAATCTCGAGGCTTGAAAGCATACCAAACAGATTTATATACAGCGTCGCCGATCGTTTGACTCTAAAATACAAATGTAGACAAAAGTGCATGCCATGTAGAAAAACGAGATGTTGTCCTTGTCACGTATGACGCGGTGCTTCATTTTTACACGAGCAAAATCTCCCCAAAACGATCCAATCTTTTATAACACAACGTAGTGATCTTTTTTAACAACCTGACACAAAAAAAGAAAAAATTGACAAAAATGATTTCAGGTACTCACCTTATTACTCAGATATTCGCCAGCGAAACAAAAGATAAACGCTTCCAAAGTGATAGCGATGTAAAAAAACAGGGTCTTCACTAACATCCTGACGCCTTCATCTGTACCCAATGACTGCAAGTCCAGAAAAGAGTCAGAAAGAAAGTTCGACGTGTTCGCTGTAAAGCAAAGATCGCAGACGCGCGGGAAGCAAGCGGTCATCTCCCACTATCGTGCCAACATTGCCAACTCGCGTGGGTCGCAATGGGCCTTGTGTGAAGGATAAAAGAAAAGAGATCGAGGATATCCGGTCAGATTTATTGCTTTTCGAGATGGAGAGATGAATCTTCAAAGAGCTCGAAATCATGCCAATACGTTCACATAGAAATCTTTTTACTTGCTTTCTGCCTGCGGCGAGGTAATGGCGATTCGTGTCTACCGTGCGGTTTGAATGAATTAACATGAGTGTGTGAATCTGAGACCGCTGCCATTTCGAATACCATGAAGTGCTCGAAGCAAAAACATGTGTTTAGCACATAAAACGTAAGTAACTTATAATACCGTAAGTAACATAAGTAACATATAAATAACTGTATGTACGTCTATAAATAAGATTAAAAGTTTATATTGTCATTTGTTTCCGATCAGATGTTCCACGTGTCTGTGCAATGTGCAAGTGTATGCATCACGTCATTTATCATTATCAGATATACTTAAAACGCTTAACTTTTATTATGCGCATTTTATAAAGCGCAATAATTAGTGCGGTGGAAAAATTACAAAGTATGTACGACACTTGAAAATCAAAATTTTTTTTAACAAAGCGTTTGCGTTTGCAGATCTCGGATACTCACGGTTACTATGAGGAACCCGATGCAACATATGATCACCGTATTTGAAAGAAATTGCATCAGCGCGATGTCAGAGAAAAGACTCTCGATGTTCTCCGAAAAAGTGATAATCTTATGGTGTTTATTGATTAAGGATCTCACAATGGCAGAAGGTAAATCATATTCGTTATCTTTAGGGCAAATCCCTTCCACTTCCTGTTGCATAAGGTCTATTTGCCCCCCAATGTGCAGCATCTGTATATTATATTAGTAAAATAAACGTTATAATTATTCAGTTACATGGCTGCTAAACAAAAGTATTTCAACTGTGTCAATAATATTGCATAAAAACAATCTTTAGTCATTTATATAACTTAGACATTACTATAAAATACAGCATATGTATGAAAAAAAGAACGGTTTTTGCGAAAATACGTAAATATTAAGCTAAATACAGATGTAAAAATAATTATATTGGACCTTCTCTCTCTAAATAATTATATTAAACGCTCAAGCTGGTTGTTTGAGAATGTCAAAACTTTTTACAGTATATTAGTATCATATTTAATAATCCTATAATTAGCAAAAACGTAATTATTTTGATGGTCCAACATCATTATTTTCAGATCTGTATAATATCTAGCCCAATTTTTATATACTTTTATTCTTTCCAGGAAACCATTTTTTTCGTATATTTATCAAATAAGAAAAAATAGTTAATAAGTATAAACATTTTGACCGATAAGTGATTCTCACAAATAAATAAAGCCGAATTGATAAAGACATCCATGATGGAGGGAGGTCCAGGTCGAACCTTGGTTGGAGTGATATTTTTTA